GTCAATGAACCCTCTAACTGTTTTTTTCTCCTCAGTGTAGACTTGGTGGACAGCTTAACCTTAGTAATGGGTTATAAAGTATTTGATAAACATATGGAAATATTTGGCAGGTTCACGACTTTCTTTCGTGTTGAAATGAATCACAGCACATTAAATGGATGGTTCAGCAGTGCTGTAGGCCATGGTGGGAGTGTGCTGGCACTATAAGCTGTTTTTGGAAAAACACCTGCCAGAAATTTGTCTGGCTGTGGACAGTGTGATCAGAACTCAGTTCATCAGGATGGGCTCTGGAGCCTGGAGGTGGGTTTTCTAAGTGTGATAAATTCCATATGTGACAACTATTTTAGTATATTGCGAACCAGTGATGCCTCCTCCCATCTTCCAAGCTTAAAAGCCAAGTCTGATTCACAGCTGAATGATGTAAGAGTAAATGCAACCCCCAGATTTGATCTTGGCGGGCTTGCTTTGCCATCTAGTGGTAGCCTGAAGCACAAGGATGTCCCGTGCTATGTTCATGACTGAGGCCAACTTACCCTATATTAAGTAGGTAATATCTAATCATACTTAAGTTTAATAGTGATGAGAAAAGATATACTGTAAAGCAACAGATATTCATGGAATGAGCAACCAGGAAAAACATTCATTTGGCCATCCTTGAAGAAATGTAACAAAACGAAGAGAGTTTGCAATTGAACTGGAAACTACTAAGAAATAAAAGGATTTCTAAAATGTACTCTTTTGGAACAATGTGCTTTGGGAGCTGAGGAGCAGTTGGTAGAATACTAATCTAGCACACGTGAAGCCCGGTTTTGATCCTTGGCACTCAGTATGGTGACACAGATCTATGATCCTACCACTCAGAAGTGTGGGTGGGGGGAGGATCAAAAGTTCAAGGTTACCCTCTCTCAGTTTTGAGGCCAGCCTGGGCTACATGGGACTCTATGTCAAAAGAAACAAAATTACATATTCTTTAGCTTTGGATAATATTAATTTTAGAGTAGAATAATAATTTTTAAATAATGCATGTATTACTTGCTTATACCATGCTCTGAGGGGAGTGGTAACTCTTTGTACATATTGCCTCATTTAGTTTTATAATAGCATTATAAAACAGAACTCACTAGGTCCCCACTGTGTACAAGAGGAAAATGAAACCTGGAGAGTTAATAAACTACCTAAGTTCATATGCCTAATAAGAGAAAAGATGGATAATTCCTGATCTGAACTTATGCCCATTATGCTGGTACAGATACACACTATTCTAAACTAATCAACCCCCCCCACTTCTAAGAACAACAGACAATAAATGGTGGTCATAGTAAGTCATCTTTTGTAATGATGTATGGTTATCTCTATTAGACAACCAGATACATCTACAGGTGTTAGATTCTTACCTAATTCTTTTCTGCTGCACCTGTCTCTAGAATCCAATCTCACTTTTATTTTCCAAAACTGGGATCTGAATCTCCAGTCCAAGTCAGCCACCTGGAGACTGACAACATTATATCACTATTATAACAGGAGATCGGGAAAAGGAAGGTGTGGGCACAGGCATGGAAAAGAGCTGCCTTTCCAACTGGGACCATGTCTCCTAGGTTACTGAGTTAGGTTTTCTGGATGATGGCTGTGTGTAGCCCTGTCCACTGGACTGTGGGTTGCTTCATCAATCAGAGCTATCATTTCCCTTGACATTTTACCATAAGGAAACTTAGATTTTCCAAAAGGAAGTGTTCTTAGACATCTGTCCAATTTTAAATTACAGACCAAATTAGATGGGCTAACTAAAGCAAAGGCCCTTTTATTACTGTGATTTGGAGGTCATATTGCAAGGCTCTGCCCTTGTTCATGGCCAAGGATAGACATTGGTATGGCTTTTATCCCAGGGGGTGCACTGCAGAGATGTTCCCAACAGGGATGGAAAAAGGATGCCATCATATGATTCATGGTCTCGGATGCAGGAGGCATTCACACAAACCTACAGAATTGGACGTTTCAGACATATAACTACTTACATTGTATAAGCACGAAGAAGTTGTGTTTCTTCTTTATTAAATCTACACCATTTGATATTAGCGGTTGCTAACACAGTAAAAGAATTAAGTTTATTTTTACACAAAGTAGAAGTAGTTAAGCCACCATCCTTGGGAAGACAGCCTTTGATGTTCCATGGCTGCTTCAGGGTCATTAGGACTTTACTGAATCTCAAAAGCATCCGGAAGTCTGGCTAAAACATAGCTATCTTGAGAAACCTTCCAAGGTAGCTTGTAATTCTTTTCAGATCTATTTGTTTTATCTTATTCGTGTGAGTATTTTGCCTGTATGTGTAACACGTGCCTGCCCGGTAACTGAGGAAGTCAGAAGAGGTCATCAGATCCCCTGGAACTGTAACTATTGATTGCTGGGATCTGTCATGTGGGTGCTGGGAACTCAGCCTGGGTCCTCTGCAAGAGCAACACTTGCTCTAACTATTGAACCATCTCTGTATACGCCTGGGTGACATTGTAACAGTAGGTGAGGTAGGCTTTGATAATTCGTTTGTGTGGTTTTTATTTTTTGTCTGTTCTTTGTAAGAGGTGGAGAAAGATGTACTAGCTATACTGAGCAAGAACACGGGATTTGATCCCCAAACTATGCCCTCCTCAAACAAAAGCAGAGTGGTTATTCTATTTGTGGATCCTGTAAATATTCCTAACAGAAAGCACTCCAAGGGCAAACACGCTAATGTGCAGTCCAAGATAACAGTTCAAGGAGAGATGGAAGGCGTATTTGGGGATGTGCTTAGCTTTAGGTCATGGAGCACATGTCTGAAAGGTTAAAATGGCAGACAAGAACTCTTCTGGGCATGCCCAGCATCACCATAAAGAGAGCAGAGGGGGAAACATCACTTAGCTTTCTTTCTTTTTTGGATTATCTTAGATGATCACCAACAAAAGCTTGTTTTCTCATTTTTTTCCCCACCTGTTTAGCCATGTCTCTTGTTGAAAACATTTTTTCAAAACTTTATTTTTAATTATGTGTATATGGGATGGGGTATGTGCATGTTGAGTTCAGTACCTATGGAGGCCATTGGTGTCAGATTCCTCTGGAGCTGGGGTTGCAGGTGGTTGTGAGCTGCCTGATAGAAGTGCTGGGAACTGAACTTGGGTCCTCTAATGGCTGAGCTGTCCCCTTAGTCCCCCTTGTTGAAAATCTTGAAGAGAATCTCCTTATTAGCTAAAGATAGCATCAGAGTTACTTCTAGATCAATGCTCTCCCCCAACTAAGGAAGTTGGGTGTTTAAGAATTCACATCGTTAACAAGTTCCCAGGTGTCATTGCACCGGCCCTGTGAATTCTGTCAGATGTAATGCATCCTCTTTGTGAGCGAGAACTGTTATTGACTGTAGGGAGGATGTTTACCTAGGAATCCACTCACTGGGAAATACATGCCTATGTGCTCCTGGTGTCTGTTACCAAGGATGATGTAGAAGTGACAGATAGGTTTGAAGTCTTCAAAAGTATTGGCTGTGATGCTTGATTCAGATAAAAGAGTTAAAAGTCTGTATGAGGAAGAAGCCAACAAGTTATACTTGAACACAAGTGAGCTTTCAGAAGCCTCTCTTCACAACGTGTTTGGGAGACAAAAGGGACATGAAACTTGATGTTTCAGTTCAGTGACTGGCATGGTGAAACTGTCTTGTCAGTTAGCAACTAATATTTACATTCCATCTCTCTCATCCCCAATTAGCTTAACAGTTTGTAGACTAAAAGCACTAGAAAATAAAAAAGACCTATCTGGGAACAATTCCATAAGATGGATGGAGAGTTAGCTTGGATTTTGCCCAAGAATGATTGTTACTTGATTATTACTACATGGGTAATCATGTGTAAAAATATGCAAAGATTTTATGTATGTTGGTGTGGCTAGCTGGAGACTATCAGTCTTTGATATTAAGTGCATGATGAACAGTTGTCATAAGGGGCTTACTTTAAGAAGCATCTTTATAGAAAATTGCAGTCAGAATCTGTTGGCGCATCTGTAATCCCAGTCTTTTACTTGGCTGAGGCAGAAAGATTAGGACTTCCAAAGTAATCCTGGGCTACAAAGTGAAACCTTATCTTGTATATAATTTTAAATGGGCTCAGTGGTAGGGTATTTGCCTAGCATATGCCAAGATCTGAGTTGAATTTCAAGCACCATCAGAATGGGAAAAAAATTGTATCTCAGATCATAAAACTCTTGTGCTGAACATGGTAGCACACACCTTTAATCGTACGTAGTACTACGGAGGCAGAACTCTGTGAGTTTGAGGCCAGCCTGATCTACATAGCAAGTTCCAAGACACAGCTACATACCTTGTCTCAAAAACAAACAAAACAAAACAAAAGTAAACTCAAAACAAACAAATAAACAACATCTTTCTTGACTGAAATTTTGCTAAGAACAAGGTCCTCCCCAGGAGTAGCTACCTTGGGAGAGGGGGTCAAAAGTACCTGTAACTCCAGCTTCAGGAGGTCCTCTGATTTGAACACTGTAAAAATCATTTTGTAAGCCTTGTTTTTAAACTATTAATTAGAAATTCCCTGGACAATAGGTCACAAATAACAGAGAGGTTCAAAACTGCTTCAAGGAATGCTGTAAGCTGTAGCATGTGAACCTCAGCCCTACTTAGTGCGTATATTTACATGCTTGCATGCCTCTGCACGTGGAGAAGAGGAAACTGTGCAAACAATAGAGAGGCAACATACCATCACATGTTGGCAACTTTAAATATATTTAATATTACGAAAGCTCTTAGATGATGATACCCATGATGGAAAGAGATCATAAATGAAGAACCACGTTCTATGCTCCACAAATTCTTAAACAATTTTCATATGTCATTCAGTCATGGATGCACCTTTATATAAATGGTGGCTCCATGCAAAATTTTATTTCAAAATGTATAGGACATATTTCTTACTTCAGCATAAGGTGGTCTTTACTGTGTATTTTCTTTTATGGCAAAGGAGTAAAGGCCGAAGGGATCCCACTGCAGCTATGGTTACCAGGACTGCCAAAGAGCAGGCAGCATGATCAGCCACCACTCCAGCAGATAGCACTGCTTGCACTCCAAGTTACAAAAATAAAAAGTGACAACATGAAGGTGCGAAGGGAGGTTTGGGACTGTGCAGGGGAGGACGCTTCAGTAGTAGGTAAGGTTAAGATACATGGTATGTTTGTATGAAATTGTCAATGAAGAAATAATAGATATTCTAAAGAAAAAAAAATCAAAGGAGGGGCCCAGGCCTGGTGACAAAGGCCTAACTAAAGTCCCAGCTACTCAGGAGGCTGAGCTAGAAGGATCAAAGATCACAGCCAGCCTGGGCAACAGAGCAAGTTCAAGCAAGTCAACTTGTGCAGCTGAGACTGTCTTAAAATAAAAAGTAAAAGCTCCCCAAACAATAGATGCATGAAGCCCTAGGTGCACCTCCAGCCCTGTCCTGCTTCCTGACCCCATTTTCCTGTTTTTTCTTCTTGTTTTTTGAGACATGGTTTCTCTGTGGCTTTGGAGGCTGTATGGAACTAGCTCTTGTAGACCAGGTTGGTCTCGAACTCACAGAGATCCGCCTGCCTCTGCCTCCCGAGTGCTGGGATTAAAGGCGTGTGCTCCCCTTCCTCTGTCTTTATGTGTGTGTGTGTGTGTGTGTGTGTGTGTGTTGTGTGTGTGTTGTGTCTGTATTTGCTTACGTGCATATGCATGTCTGTGTTGTGTGTTTGTGTTGTGTATGTGTGTGTTGTGTGTGTCTGTGTGTCAGTACGTGTATGTGTTGTATGCTGTGTGTGAGGGTCTGTATGTGTGTGTGTCTGTGTGTGTGGGGTCTGTATGTGTTTGTGTGTTTCTGTATGTGTATTGTTGTATGTTGTGTCTGTGGGTCTGTGTGTGTTGTGTGTATGTTGTGTGTGTTGTGTGGTGTGTGTGTGTTGTGTGTACCTATGCATATATGAAACCATGTATGTGTATTGTTGTATGTTGTGTCTGTGGGTCTGTGTGTGTGTGTGCTATGTATGTTGTGTGTGTGTCGTATGTGTGTGTGTTGTGTGGTGTGTGTGAGTGGTGTGCATGTGTGCTTGTGGTGTGTACCTATGCATATATGAAACCAGCAGGTGATGAACTGTTGTGTGTGTCTATATGTATTGTGTGTATGTTGTGTGTGTGTCGTATGTGTGTGTGTTGTGTGGTGTGTGTGAGTGGTGTGCATGCGTGCCTGTGGTGTGTACCTATGCATATATGAAACCAGCAGGTGCCTAGCTGATGAACTCATCTGTTTCTAACTTGGCGCTGCTCCACAGCATTGTCTTCTGATGCAAACCCCAAATCAGCTCCTTCTGCACCCCCAGATCAGTGAGTGTTTCAAACTCTGATAGTCATTTACCTTTTAGATGTGAGGAGTTTCTGATCCTGCTTTCATAGAGCTAAGTACCAGAAGGAGCTGCAGGCTGCTGCTTCTGCCTCTATAAGCAATGAAGAAATAAGCATCTGGGAGAGGTTGTGGGCTGAGACCTCTCCACTTTGTCCCAGCCTGGGCTGTGTGGGGAAGTAGGTGGGGAGGGAAAGAGGGATCCATAGAGCTGGCTGAGAAAGAACTCGGTGATTTCATATGTCTGTTATGGGTCCATTCAGCGGAGTATGGATCTACTCTCCAGAAGTCTAAGTTGGGTGAAAATGGGATATTCAAGGTGGAGGACCACTGAGGACCTAATATGTAAACAAAGAGGTAAGTTTTGTTTAAAAGAAAAGAAGCCCCCAAACCATTCTTTGCTTTTGTCTTTCTTTTTTTTAAAGGGCAAAATAGAAAAAAACAAGATGGAAAATATGTTATTTTGGCTGATAATTTTCATCTCTGGATGGCCCCTCTCTGATGCGTCTGAAACAGCACCAGATTTTACATGGCATTTGAGCAGAATACCCCGGGTTGTGAGTGAGAGGACTGTCCGTCTTGCCAGCCCCACGTTCCAGGCAGATGCTGGGGTAGTGATGGCCAGAGTGTGTGGCATCGAGTGTCAGGCAGAGCTCCCGGCTCCCAGCCTTTCCCAGCTCGAAGACTCCCTTTCCTATGAGACGGTCTTTGAGAATGGCACCCGAACCTTAACCAGGGTGAAAGTTCAAGACCTGGTCCCAGAGCCCGCTGGAAACAACAGCATAAAAGGACCACACCCTAGGAGGAGGCGGCAGGTGTACGGTACAGACAGCAGGTTCAGCATCTTGGACAAAAGGTTCTTGACCAATTTCCCTTTTAACACAGCGGTGAAGCTGTCCACCGGCTGCAGCGGCGCCCTCGTCTCCCCCAACCACGTGCTCACAGCTGCCCACTGTGTCCACGATGGGAAGGACTATATCAAAGGCAGTAAGAAATTAAGGGTGGGAGTGCTGAAGATGAGAAATAAAGGAGGCCGCAAGAAACGCAAAGGTTCCAAGAGGAACCGGAGAGAAGCCGAGGGTGCTGGCCGAAGTCACAGTGGTCAAGAGCAACCTCAGGAGAGCACCACACAAAGACGGGGAAAAGGATCCAGGAGGGGTCCGGGGGTCACCCAAGGGAGGCCCTCCTTCCAGTGGACTCGTGTCAAGAGCACCCACATTCCCAAAGGCTGGGCGAGGGGAGAGAGTGGGGACCCGGCCTTAGACTACGACTATGCGCTCCTGGAGCTGAAGCGAGCTCACAAACAGCAGCATATGGAGCTGGGAGTCAGCCCCACCATCGCCAAGCTGCCCGGAGGCCGGATCCACTTCTCCGGGTTTGACAACGATAGGGATGATCAGTTGGTGTATCGGTTTTGCAGCGTTTCAGAGGAATCCAATGACCTCCTGTATCAGTACTGCGATGCTGAAGCAGGCTCCACCGGCTCTGGCATCTACCTGAGGCTCAAAGAGCCAGGCAAAAAAAACTGGAAACGCAAGATCATCGCCGTCTACTCAGGCCACCAGTGGGTGGATGTACACGGGGTTCAGAAGGACTATAACGTGGCTGTGCGCATCACACCGCTCAAGTATGCCCAGATTTGCCTCTGGATCCATGGAAATGCAGCCAACTGTGCTTATGGCTGAGGAAAAACTGAGGCGAGTTCATGCACATCCTGAATGCCAGAGAAAGCCAGCTCTCACTTTGAGACCCCTCACGGGCTGTGCTTGTACTCGGACCTGTCGGTGGTGTGCCATCGTTTTTTACAGACTTCCTTTATCAAAATTAGGTAACTTTCTCACAGTTAGAATGTTTAGGTACAGATAATGAAACTAGATGGCACTTCAGCGTCAAAAATATACTCTATGTGGTGGTAAGTTTCGTTGAGGGAAACCACTGTTTACTTGGGCCTTCTTTGAAACTAGACACTCTTTTAAAAGGTCAAACCAGAACTGTAATATGACTTCTCAACAGGCTTGCTCTTAGAGCCCTACTCTAAGAAGAACCAACTTGAATGGAATAATACCAAGATTCATAGTAACACAATTAGAATCAGGAGAGACAAGGAGGTTTCATTGGTAGAGTTATGAGACAGAGCCATTCAGCTCTGTTCCTGCCCTGGGTGTTTATATGTGTTTTCTCTTGGTACCGAGAAACTTATTTTAGGAACTACAGATCAAAACATATAAAAATTACAAATCAAAAGAAGTAGTGAACTTTATAAACAAAACTATTAACTGTGGCTTTAAGAAAAGAAACAACAAACCAGCATCAACCTGTCTGTCAAAAATTGGAGAAACACTTTGTTCTGTGCAACGAACCAACTTTAAAGATACTGAAAGCAGAGGCACCAACTTTAAAAATATTGAAAGCAGAGGCATTTTTGTTTGTTTGTTTTGTTTTTTGTTTTTTCAAGGCAGGGTTTCTCTGTGTAGCCTTAGCTGCCCTGGAACTCGCTCTGTCGACCAGGCAGGCCTCTAACTCACAGAGATCCACCTGCCTCTGCCTCCTGAGTGCTGGCATCAAAGGTGTGTGCCAGCACTGCCCAGCTTGAAAGCTGAGACACTTTAAAATCTCCAGTTTTTATTTAACTAATTCTCAAGATAGGAAGTTTTCAAGGAGTGCAAAGACTCCTCTTCACAAGCCAGGATCCTGCTTTGAACTCCACTCCTTGCCATGCTGTACTGTCTACTCTGTAAGGTGCTATGTTTTTAGAGCAAGGGATTTTTGAAGTCTTTTTAAAAAGTGAACCCACTTGCTCCAAACCCTCAGATAGCAAAGATGGTTCTGATGGTTCTCATTAGGGACCCAGGTGGCATCGTCACTCTGGCTCCCAAGTAGCATTAAGATGTTAGTGACCTGCTAGAGCAAAATGCAGAGTAAGCACTTAGGGCACTCACCCTGAACAAACAAGTATGGTGTAAATGGCTACAAACAGGGTTAGGGCAGGGCATTATGCTTAAGCAGTTTCGATGATATACTCAAGCACACTCTAAAATTTAGTAATTCAGGAGCCCAATCTTTGCTCTATTCTTTCTGGCAATTTCAAAGGTCACATATTCTTCTCTCATGACACAATTCACTGCTGGAGTAAAATCTTTTTTCTTTTAGAGGTGTCCCAATAAAGACTACAAAATAAGAAATTATTATTCCCTGTTTTTGTTTTCTGTTATATTCTTGATTAGTAGGCAAAAGGGTATCTTCATTTGGGTTAGCATAATGACGTTGTAAATGGTGCTTAAAATATCTGCCATTCTTTTATAATGTGAGTTGTTAAAAATAGTTTAATAAAATTAAAAAATAAAGTTGATGACTGTGTTTATATATATATATATATTTTAGTTAAAAGGTTTTAGAAAATATTCAATTAACTATCACTTAGCTAGAAAGTATTGTCTTTAATGCTCATCTCACTGATAGTCTATCATTGCTTCCAGTACCAAGAGGAACACACACTGAAAATAAATCCATTTTCTTTAGGGTGGGATAATATGTACCATCTCTGTATTAGTTACTTTTCCTGTCAGTGTGATAAAATACCCTACAAAAGCAATTTAAGAATGGCTTCGTTTGTTGTCTGGTTTTCTTACCTTCATAGCTTTTCTAGGAGTGTCAGCATAATTAATACATGATTCTAGAAATTATCATCATAGCTGCAAATATTAAACCAACTATGCTGTTTCATCTCCTATTCATAAAAATAGACTTAAATGTTCTCAGCAGACTAGCAGCCATGTTTTCCGGAAGAGCTACACAGATGTAGAGAAATCTGCATGTGTGTGGACTGATTTATGAGCCAGAGAGGCCAGTGTGCGGCAGTCTCTGTCTGAAGGTAGACCTCCTCCCTTGCCCACTGTGACAGTCTGTCTGAAGGTGGCATTCCTCCCTGCCCACTGCTTATGCTATCCCTAAACTTCCAGCTTTCAAGGTCAGGATACACTTAGAGCCAAGATTCTATCACAAAACAGAAGGAACCCTTTATCCAGCAAAGGGCTGAAAATAAAAGTTGGTGTTTTTAAGACAGAGCTGAATTTAGTATTCTGCCACCACTGCACTTGGGGACAATTTACACCAGAAGGCTTTGTGGCTTGGGGAAATAAGTGACACCGTTGTACCCACCAAATAGCCAGTTGTGTCACTCGGTGTAGTCCAGGATGTGACTGATGTGGCTCCTTAAATGGATGTCTTGAGCAGTCACCCACCCACAGATCACAGCATCCCTGCTCCTAAATTAAAGTGTAGGCCATCATGCGACATGAATCACCTTTCCAGGACTAGTAACTAAAGTTCTCCATTCTTAGGCTGGAGGAAACAAGGGCTCTCTGGCTTTCCTATTCTACAGCATTTAGAAACTCTCCTTTGCTAGACTCATCTATCAAAGTCAGCTGGAGGCTCAGACAGGTGAGCCCCAGACATGGTCTGTTTCCCTCAATGTGGAGGTTTCCAAATTTGGTTAACAATAAGAAGGACCAGTGAACCACCTTAGCCACCCAGATGCCAGGGCTCCACAGAGACCTAGCCTGGATCCCTAAGAGAGCCCAGCATTGCAGATCCAACTAAGCTCTGGATTGGCTTCCAATCATGGTTACAGTCTCTCTCACAAAAGAAAGGCTCCCCTGCCTCTTGCAGTTCCCAACCAAGCTCAGGATACTTAGTCTTCCTTCTGGGTTAAATGTTTTCTCAGGGTTCCCTGACTTATACCTTTCTTTCCTTCCTTCCTTCCTTCCTTCCTTCCTTCCTTCCTTTCTTTTTTTCTTGAGACAGGGTTTCTCTGTGGCTTTGGAGGCTGTCCTAGAACTAGCTCTTGTAGACCAGGCTGGTCTCAAACTCACAGAGATCTGCCTGCCTCTGCCTCTAGAGTGCCGGGATTAAAGTCGTGCACCACCACCACCTGTCGACTTATACCTTTCTTATAATTTAAAATACTTTGGTGAGGAGAGTGGTAGTGTAAATGATCAAATACATAGATGATGCTCTTTTTAATGTTTTTACCAAATAAACATTTTAGAAATAGAATGGCTATAACACCATTTTCCTATGATAAGAAACAAGTCAAGTTTGCAAAATTCCTAAGTATATATGATCAGTTTACAATAAAAGAAAAAAAATCAGTTTTATTTATTTCCCAGAAATCAGATGCTATTTTTTTCTTTTCTTTTCCAGAATTCATCTTGTTATTTTGGTGAGATCAATACAACTCAAGGAACTTTAGTTGAGTTAAACCTTAGGTTCTTAGGATGTGGGGTTACGTTTTAGATTCTATCTTCCCTCCAAGAATGCACAGTTTAGTGAGGATTGCACACACACCAGAAGGCAGGAAGTGTGACACTGAAACAGCACTCTGAGAAGTGGGTTCTGCTAGAGTGGTCAAGCAGGCTAAAGGGATGAAGCAACACTTAGACTAGCTAGCTAGCTTATGAATGCGGAGCTGAAGGTGACCCGGCAGCCTGGAGCAAACAGTTTCAGGAGGCAGGGAGAGGGTCCCTCCAGGATTTAAGGCAGACTTTCAGACTGCAGTCAGAGCTTCCAAGTGGAGAGCAACACCAAGAAAACAAGGCTTCCTGGTGAGGCTAAAATAGAAAGGCCTCAAGTGGAGTCCTTATAGTGCTTATAACTCATCACCAAGAACTGATGCAGGTCTTCAAGTCAGAGGAACAGTATTGAAGGGGAACAGAGAGAGAGAGAAGGAAGCCCTCCAGCAGCACCTTCTGGGCTGCAGAGGGTGAGTTTGGGTAGAGTACACCAAAGACTCACTTCACTTCCTTCACTGAAGACTAACAGGAGAGGGCAACTGTGGGGTACTCAGGCCAGGGAAGGCTGGCTACATAGTGAAAGTGTCTCAAGAAGCGGGGGAGTAAGAGAGAGGGAGGGAAGGAAAGAGGGAGGAAGAGAGGAAGGAAGGTAGGGAGGAAGGAAGGAAGATAGAAAATGTTCAGGACACCTGTTGGTCACTGAATAAAGGAGTTTAGAATTGTGGGTGCTGGGCTTGGGAGACAATGAAGAAAGAACTAGCTTGGAGGAAAAAGAGAAGCTCCCTCACAGACATGTATGCCAAATAAATAAGTAGATAAACCAATAAACCAATAAACTGTTCTGTATTTACTGTAAAAACAGAAGATGCTCAACCCAAAAGAAAGCCATACCAAGAAAGTGAAAGGAAAACAATGACAGCTTTCCACAGTGATTGACTCAATAACACAGGCAGAAAGTCACTGCTGTATTTTGCTCTGACAAGCAATGACTACACCTTTGTTTTTCTGCTGTGAAATAGAATGCTCCTTTTAACTTAGCTTGGAAAACTTTTTTTTCCATTGAGAGAATGTCAGGAATTGCAAAAAATTATTTAACTTCAAATTTACATTTGAAATACTATATATATGGTCACAACTCAATATCCCATTTTCTAATACTGTCAAAATTTCATGCTTCAAAGTACAGATGACTGCCAGGCAGTGGTGGCATACTTCTTTAATCCCAACACTCAGGAGGCAAATGGGATCTCTGTGAGTTTAAGGCCAGCCTGGTCTGAGTTCTAGGACAGGCCCCAAACCTACACAGAGAAACTCTGTCTGAAAAAAAAACAAAAGAAAGTACAGATGACTTAAAAATTAACTACAGCTTTCCTTGGGGGCATGTTTATAGTAGTGTTTCAGACTATATAATCTAACTTCTTAAGGTTTTAAGATATATAATTATGAAAAAAGATCAAGCAAAAGACCCCAAACCTCCCACTTCCCACCCCCAATAATAAAATGAGTTAATTTACCACCCAAAATGTTTCTTATACTGACAGAAATGTACCACTTAGCCTATCAGGGTGTGGTGGGCATGCCTTTAGTTCCAGTCCCTTTGAGAGGCAGAGGCAGGAGGGTCTCTGAATGTAAGACCAGTTTTATCTGCACAGTGAATACCAGGCCAGAGAAGGCTAAATACTAAGACTGTCTCAAGAAGGAAAGGAGAGGGGGGAAGGGAGGGAGGGAGAAAAGGAGGGAGGGAGGGAGAGAGGGAAGGGAGCAGGGAGGAGCAAGCCACAGGACTATTGCACCTGGAAAGGATTCTGGTTTTAAAAGTTGTTTTAGCAGGAAAGCATATGATCATTGACAGAAAATTCTCCCCTCAAGAGGTCACTTCCTGGCCCTGGCCCTATCCAGGGGTGCATTCTGCAAGCCTGGGTACATCCCCTAAGAAGGGGTCTCTAGTCTAGGAGTTTAAATTTTGCACTGGATGCTGCAATGTCTGGCTGGACACTGCTTCCCCGATGGTTTACAAGGACAGGTTACATGTAGTTGTGTTAACATCCGGGACAGGCACCTACATTACTGAATCTGTGCTGTATTACAGAATCTTACTACCTCCACCATTTAAATACCTTTTATTCTTTATCGTTTTACCATTCTTACAATGAAAATCACCAAATCTATAGCAAAAATAATTACAGCAATTAAAAGATTTAAAACTTAGTTAATGCGTATAGGTGTTTTGTCTACATGTATGTTTGTGTGTGGCAGTGTGCCTGATGCCTTCGGAGGAGGCCAGAAGCAGGTGTTGGAATCCCTGGGACTGGACTTACAAACAGTTGTGAGCTGCTACGTGGGTGCTGGGAATGAAACCCCGGTCCTCTGTTTTTAACTGCAGAGCCATCTTTTCAGCCCACACTGAAATTTTTAGAAGTAACAACAGCAGTATTTACTGAGTGTTACACTGTGCCAAATGCCTCCCATTCATTATCTTACATGATTCGTACACAAGTAGAAGGCACCTCATTCCACAGAAGAGAAAATGAAAGCTTACACAAGATCAGCACTTTGCCTGAGGCGAGAGTGGGTGGTTGAGCTGGGAATTCCCTTCCATTCAGTCATTCACATTCCCGCACAGGCATCATTAAAAGAGTAATGTGGCGGTGCTGAGTGAGCTTCTGAAAAGTCACAACTAATGGTGGAAATGAAATTACCATCCCCCCACCCCCAAACATGCTAATCTACTGACTGGTATATTTAGCAAGTCTTTTAGAATTAAAGCAATGGTTCTCTAACCATGGTAGGTGGCTTCCTAAGGATCCCCAAGACTCTTTCAGAGGGCTGTCAGATCAAAAAACCATTTCTGTAATACTACAGTGTGTCTTTTCTTATACTACACACGTCTTCTCCCAATATCACACAGTGGGCTTTTCCAGCCAACTGCTTGGCACACGTATTGAAACGGATGGAATGCAGCTGTGGCTTTTTGCTAAGTCTACTTTAAAGAGGTATGTGACAAAGAACTACAGGCAACGAAGGAGTGCTGAGAGCCTTGCCTAGGGAAGAGTACTGCAACTGCTTACCCAACACCAAACTGTCAGCCCTGAAAACTTACATACAAGTAACATTATAGAGTCCAAGCAAGTTATATTTAGGAATCTTCATGCATGTACATACATATCATGTATATGCATATAATAACAATCAATGAAAAAAAAGAGCCGATGAATTTACAAGAGAGAAAGAGCCAGCATATGGGAAAGTTTGGAGGGAGGAAAGGGAAGAGGAAATGATGTAATCTCAAAAAATAAATTTA